GCCTGCTTCTCCCTCTTCCACCCCCTCTGCTTGTGTTCCCTCTCTCGCTGTGTCTCTCTCTGTCAAATAAATAAAATCTTAAAAAAAAAAAAAAAAGAATTCAAGAGATTTCAACTGGAGAAACACTGCACCCATGCCATGTGTGATGTCACACGCCTGCAGGGTCTGGGTCAGTACCTCACATCCAAACTCCTTAGTATTTCCAAAGCAAAATGTAAAAGACATATACTAAGTAGGATAAAAATAAAATTAGCCTCACATCAGTTTAGGGCAGGTTTTGTAGTTTAATAGATTTGGACCAAAATTTAAAAAACAAAAACTCGTGGAAAAAATGGCAATGCGGGAGAACCCAGCTTTCCCCATTCCCCCCACAAAATTAATGACTGGACAGCTATCAACTAACAAAAACAGCCCTAGGAGACTCCCTGAATACACTTTAGAAGTTTCAGCAACACAGTGGAACAAAAAAACAAAACAACTTTCAAATTGCAGGGCTTTGGGGGTTTCAGAATTCTGGACTAGTATTTGCAAAAAGAAACTGTGTATGGATAAAGAGGAACTTTTAAAAATAGTTACCATGGTTGGGGGGGGTGAGGTGGGGAGATGATGTGGGAGGGCAGGGGTAAACTGGTGCCTTTAATTTTTTTTCACCAATTCAAAAAGTATTTTAGGGATGCCTGGGTGGCTCAGTCGTTGAGCATCTGCCTTCGGCTCAGGTCATGATGCCAGGGTCCCGGGATTGAGTCCCGCATTGGGCTCCCTGCCTGCTTCTCCCTCTGCCTGACACTCCCCCTGCTTATGCACACGCACGCGTGCTCTCTCAAAAATAAAAAAATAAAATCGTTTTTAAAAAAAGTATTTTAGCTGCAGGAATGGATGCTGATATCTGTAAAAGGTCCCCTTTGAGTGAATAACATGGAACGAAGCCCCCCTGGGCTAGGGTCTGCTGCTTTGCAATACATTAGGGACAGGGATGGTAGTGCTGAGGAGCTCTGGACTGAGGTCTCACTGAAGGCTCCACACTGTCATTCACAAATGAGCTGCAATTTTCTTTTATCTTGGCTATCTGTCCAATTTTGATACCAATGTTATGTAACTCTCTTTAAAAAATGTGAAAACTCTCAGGGGCGCCTGAATGGCTCAGTTGGTTAAGTGTCCGACTCTTTTTTTTTTTTTTAAGATTTTATTTATTTGACAGAGAGAGACACAGAGAGAGAGGGAACACAAGCAGGCGGAGTGGGAGAGGGAGAAGCAGGCTTCCCGTGGAGCAGGGAGCCCATTGGCGGGGCTCGATCCCAGGACCCTGGGATCATGACCCGAGCTGAAGGCAGACACTTAACGACTGAGCCACCCAGGCCCCCCAAGTGTCCAACTCTTGATTTCAGCTCAGGATCTTGGGGTTGTGGAATCAAGTCCCCATTGGGCTCGGTGCTCAGCATGGAGTCTGCTTGTCCCTCTCCCTCTGCTCCCCCACCACAACTCGTGCTTTCTCTCTCTCGCTTGCTCAATAAATAAATAAATAAAATCTTTAAAAAAATTTTTTAGAGGGATGCCTGGGTGTCAGTCAGTTAAGGGTCTGCCTTCGGCTCAGGTCATGATCCCAGGGCCCTGAGATCAAGCCCTGCATCGGGCTCCCTGCTCAGTGGGGAGCCTGCTTCTCCCTTTCCTTCCGCCACCCCCTGGCTTGTGCTGTCAAATAAATAAATAACATCTTCAAAAAAATTTTTTTTTTGGAGACTTCCTTTCTCTTTCTCTGCTCTGAAAGTTTAAAGGGCATCAGAGTCTGTGTCATAAAAGGCACAACTCCCCAGGACATGTCTGGGCTTCATGTTTTTGTGGAGAATATAACTTTCTTTTTCAGGGGTGAAGTTCTGTCCACATATACTTTCTACAAAATCATCAATTTTATCCAAATTTTCAAAATCACAGGCATTGAGTTGAGTATAGTTGACTTTCTTATAATTCACAGTATGAAAACTGAGGGAGAGATATATGATCCAGGGAGGCCACATGCAGGACAGAACACTTGTGCCTGACACACAGGGGTGGGGAGCACAGGAACCAGCACAGAAGTAGACAGGGCAAAGCAGGAGGGGGCCACGGGAGCCAAAAGATTAGTACAGTGGACAGTTATTACCACAAGTCAAAAAAACAAGACCCAAGATGCACGGTTTAGTCAATCCCTAAACCTTGCACAGAGTATATACCAAAGGAGGATTCCTGCAGGGGGTGTCTCCCAAGACAAGGGTGATCCAGGGCCATGCAGCTCTCTGTCCCCGAGGGGTCAGCAGCCTCCTGAAGGGAGGAGCCAGCCCTGAGAGCCAGAGGCTGGGAAAGGGTGCAGGGCAACTAGAGAAAGCTCCCCAGAGGAAGAGGCACCTCAGCTGGGCCCAGAAGATAACACTGCGGGGCAGGAAAGGCAGAGAAGGGCAGCACTGCTGAGTAACAGCAAAAGTCAAGGCAAGAAAGCCTGGCCATGTCTGCCCTAGGCCACCACCGGTCATGCTCTCTATAAACTCCTTCTGGAGAATAGGAGGTACTTAAACCATGAAGAAATATTTCACTTGACAGTTCCTAAAACCAAAAAATGAGAACTGGGGCACCTGACTGGCTCAGTCAGTGGAGTGTGCGACTCTCGATCTCTGGGTCATGAGTTCAAGCCTCACGCTGGGAATAGAGATTACTCTAAAAAACAAAAAAACAGGGGCACCTGGGTGGATCAGTAGGTTAAGCACCTGACTCTTGGTTTTGGCTCAGGTCATGATCTCGCAGTCGTGGGATCGAGCCCCAAGTCAGGCTCTATGCTGAGTGCAGAGTCTGCTTCAGATTCTCTCTCCTTTCCCCTCTGCCCCTCCCCTCCCACTCCCACTCCTACCCCCGCCACACACTCCCTCTCTCTCTCAAATAAATAAAACCTTTAAAACAAAACAAAATGAAAACAAAAACTGAGAACTGTAACTAATATTTGAAGACGAAACAATGAAACAGAATCAGAGCTGGAATGGGAATCAGGTGGCTGGGGCTGGGGCTCCTCCTCTCACCAGGATACAACGAGGGTAGTGGCACCAATTCTTCCCAATGTGCCAATGGCTGGGATGGGGTCATGAAGGAGGCCACAGAAACCCTAAGGGACCAAGAATCCATGGGGAAGGAGGAAGGTCAGAGGCTTAGGCCCTCAAGATGAGAGGGTGTGGGGCACCTGGGTGGCTCAGTCGGTTGAACATCTGATTTCTACTAAGGTCATGATCTCAGACTGGGGGCGAGCGGGGCTCTGCACTCAGCGGGGAGTCTACTCGTCCCTTTGCCTGCTCATGTGCGTGTGTGCTCGCTCTCTGTCAAACAAATAAATAAATACAATCTTAACCAAAAAAAAAAAGATGAGAAGGAAGATGGCCAGGGAACGGGCACAAAAGGCACAACTTCCCACATCACATGGCTGTGTGGACAATGTGTATACACAACTGACCACTTGGCCTTGGCCTCAGCACCCACAGGGACCCGAAACCTGATGACCAGGCTCATGTGGGCTTCTAGTTAGCATTATAAGAACACCACTGGGGGGCGGAGGGGACACTGAAAGTTTAAGGCATAAAGTGCCAATATCTTAAAAAAGGTGTGTATATGTCTTTGTGCTGAAGAGAAAGCAAATACAGTAAAATGTAACAACTGGTATTCAGGTGTACGTAATATTTTTTTTTTTTTAAGATTTTATTTATTTATTTGAGAGAGAGAATGAGAGAGAGAGAGCACATGAGAGGGGGGAGGGTCAGAGGGAGAAGCAGGCTCCCCGCCGAGCAGGGAGCTCGATGCGGGACTCGATCCCCGGACTCCAGGATCATGACCTGAGCCAAAGGCAGTCGCTTAACCAACTGCGCCACCCAGGCGCCCCCAGGTGTACGTAATATTATTCTTTCAACTTTCCACAGATCTGAAATTTCTCAAAATGAAATGTTGGGGAAACCAGAGTAAACGGAAACAAAATCTGTTTTATACCAAGATATAGAAAATTCATTTTATAAAATGCAACAGGACAAGTAAAGTCAAGCGTGTTGTCTTTTAAGAAACAGGAAAAAAGGTGGGAGCCTGGCTGGCTCAGAAGAGCATACCACTCTTAATCTCAGGGCTGTGAATTCCAGCCCCACCCACACTGGCTAGAGATTACTTAAAAAAAAAAAAAAAAAGGAAAAAGAAAACATGTCCCAGAAGAGCTGAAAGAAAAACAGATTCAGGGGTGCGTGGGTGGCTCAGTCAGTTAAGTGTCTGCCTTCGACTCAGGTCGTGATCCCAGGGTCCTGGGATCTCCCGGCATCAGGCTTCTTGCTCAGCAGGGAGTCTGCTCCTCCCTCTCCCTCTGCCCCCCCCCCCCCCTTGTGCTCTGCTCTCTCTCGCTCACTCTCCCTCTCAAATAAAAAAAATCTTAAAAAAAAAAAAAAAAAGTAGAAAGAAAAACAGATTCCAAGACCCCTCTGTCCCACTCAGTGTTGGTGAGTCACTGTAACAAGCAGTGGGAGCTCGGGGAGAGCAGGGGACTTGGCAGCTTCTGACTGGTTCGTCCCACCGGGTCACTGTGGGTGCCAACACAAACACCTAGTGGAGCCAGGATTACCTGTGCTACTTTACTTGTGAGAACATGTGAATGTAACTCACCTGAAGTAATCACAGGACGCAGCCAGCAGGATTCGATGGGCCTCAATGTGTCTCCCCTCCACCACCAGGACAACATCAAAGAGGATGCCACTGTCCCGGAGAGCCAGCAGCCCCCGGAGCAAGGCCTGCGAGTGCTGTGCACTCCGGTAGGTGTTGTTGACACAATGCGGGTGTGAGGGCTGCACAGGAAACTTGCACAGCTGGGTGAACTCCTGCTCCTCCGCCATCCTGACCACCACACCAGACCTCACCACTGCGGCTGTCAGCTGAAGACAGAGGGGACAGGGAATAAGCCAGGGAAGCAACACCGCACAGTGCACAGACTGGCCCAGTGGCACCTGCTGCCCGTGGCACTTGTTCCTCCCACCAGCTCACCTGGGCTTCCCCTGTGGGCTTTAAACCCACGAATTCCCTCTCCCCTCCCACTGCTTCTACAGACTTGGGGCCTCCTTCCTGAAGACCTGTGTCCCTTCAACTCCAGGATTCTTCATTAAATTTTATCTCCTTCAACATCTCTGGGAAACAGAAGGGTTCCGCAGACAGACTGACCTCGGTTGGGGCCCCAGGCCTACCAGGGACTCACCACATGACCAACCTGTCTCAGGTTCCTCAAATGAAAAGGGAAATAAAAGCACCCCGCCTCTTGGGGAAATCTAAAATTGGTAAACGATAAATATAAAGCACAGACCAGGTTCTCAAAGAGCTCTTCCTCTCTCCCATTGAGAGAAAACAAAACTGGGTCACCTGGCTGGCTTAGTTGGTAGAGCATGCAACTCTTAATCTCCAGGTTGTGAGTTCGAGCCCCATATTGGCAGTAGAGTTTGCTTCAAAAAAAGAGAAAGGGGTACCCAGGTGGCTAAGTCGGTCTTCGGCTCAGGTCATGATCCCAGGGTCCTGGGATGAGTCACGCATTGGGCTCCCTGTTCAGTAGGGAGTCTGCTCTCCCTATACCCTCCCCCCATGCTCGTGATCTCTTTCTCTCATGCTCTGTCTCTCAAATAAATAAAATCTTTTTAAAAAAAGAGGGGCGCATGGGTGGCTCAGTCAGTTGAGCACCTGCCTGCGGCTCAGGTCATGATCCCAGGGTCCTGCGATCGAGCCCCGCATCGGGCTCCCTGCTCTGTGGGAAGCCTGCTTCTCCCTCTCCCACTCCCCCTGCTTGTGCTCTCTCTCTGTCTCTGTCAAATAAATAAATAAATAAAATCTTTTTAATAAAAAATAAAAAAGAGAGAGAGAAAGTACAAAACTGGGTTCCCTCACACAGGAATGGATGCATAAAAATGACAACAGACTTGAGTGCTGGCCAGGATACCCAGGGGAGGGTCCAGGACCTGTCTTCTTTTACCAAGATTCTGAGAGTCAAGCACAGTAATCTGAACTAGAGCTGGTGCATTCAAGATCATCTGCAGCATGTTTTTAGTTCAAGGTTACTTTGTAATAATTGAGTATGTTCAAAACATGCACAGTGATTTGGGTTGAAGCCTCAGAAACCCAATCAGTCAAACAAACCTACCTCAAACACACTTTGGCCGTGCATTCTGAGTCAGGGGCAGCCAGTCCTGCCCTGCACTCTGGGGCTGAGCTAAGCACTCTAGCCCCAGCACTGCCACCCAGCCAGCAAGTGGGAGCTCAGGGGTCACCTGCCACACTGCCTGTGGCCACTACGGCCATTCCAATATCCCCTCCCCCAAATTAGTTCTTCTCCAATTCCCTGTACTGTATCTTTAAGAGAAAAAAAAATGAAAGGAGCACCTGGCTAACTCAAAGTCAGTAGAGCCTGGGACTCTTAATCTCAGGATTGTGAGTTCAAGCCCCATGTTGGGTGTGGAGACTACTTAAAATTTTTAAAAAGCGGGGGTGGGGGGTGGAGAAAAAGAAAAATAGATTCTACTATAAAACTTGCCAAACTGCGGTCCCTGGGTGGCTCAGATGGTTAAGCATCTGACTCTTGATCTCAGCTCAGATCTTGATCTCAGGGTTCAGAGCTCAAGCCCTGCACTGGGTTCCACGCTGGGCATGGCGCCTACTTAAACAAATGAACAAACAAAAAAACCTTGCCGAAATGAAGAGGCCTCTGTCCTCACTACTACAGCTCTGGAGCACACCTGATTGCTTTGGATTCTCCGCTGCTTCCCATTGAACATGCCCCATTCCCCTCTGTGCTGGTCCCTCAGTGTGCCTCCTGGATTTGGAACCTTCACCCACCTACCCACTGCTTCCTCCGCACCCTGGACTGGCTCACACACAGACAGGCCGGGCAAGGGGTAGCCCCCATTAACCACCTCTCTTGACTTGAAACTCTGCCCCAAGCAATGCTCTCTTTTCTGATCCCTTCAGCCAACACACCCTGCCCCATCCCATCCCTCTTTCCCAAGAATCTACCCTATATTCCCAAATGCACCTCCAGCTCGATGCCTAATCCAGCCAACAGTGGGGAGGGCCCCACTGGTCTAGTTTTCTTATTCATACAGCCACAAGTTCCACATCGGAAACCTCATGGTTTCAATGATCTCTTTTCTTTTTATACCTGCATCTATCAGATCCTCTAGTTCTGATTCCTTCTCTCCTATTTCAGATGCCCATCCACTTATTCCTCCATGGCCACCACTCTGGGTCACACCACAACAATGACACTCCCAAATGGTTTCCTTCCTCCTGTCCCATCCTCTCCATCTCCCCAGCTCAGGCCGCTGGTGGTCCCCAAATGCCCAGTGAGTATACCACCTGACTTCTCAAGCACTGGCTCCCTACTACCTTCTGCTTAGGTCTCCCCATGATCTGGCTCAAAATGCTCCTTTCCCATATACCCTGTCACTAGCCCTTAGATCAAAAGGGACACCTGTCATCCTCTAAACACCATCAGACTCCCACCTAGACCTGTCTCTTTATAACCCCATATTGGTCAAGGTCTAGTTCAATCTCTTCTCCCTCTGTCACTGTATCAAGAACAAAACAGGCATGCTCCATCACTGAAGCTGTTCTATCTACCCACCAGCTAGGGCTTTATCTCACCCACATTGCAAAACTCCATGACTGTTGGTACCACTTGTAACCACATGACTCTGAGCACTTAGCTCATTATCTCCAAGTCTAAGCTTCCTCCTCAGTACCGTGACCACCAGGGAGTTAAGAAGGCCTCCTTCCCTAAGGGTGGCAGCGGGGACTGACTGCTCCAACAGACATCAACCCCACGTCAGAACTTCTCTGCCCCTTTGAGAAGGGATCCATAGCAGCTACACTTACTACGGAGTACAGAATACAGTAGAAGACTGCCTCCTTGGGCAAGCAAAGCACATTTACCAAGCACAATTTAAGGAACTAAGCTAGGTGCTGAGGGCAGTGTGAAGAAAACAAACCAATTCCCTGCTCTGTAGGAGCATAGCTCAGAGTGCAACACATTCAAGACCACACAACACAGCCTTGTTCATAAAGCAAGCATTGGCCACGACCAGTATGTCCATCCTCAGAGGAATGGATGCTGCAACACAGTGAGCCAACAGAATACTAGACAACAGTTAAAATGGGCAAACTAGAACTCAAGCTATAATCATCAACATGGAGAAATCTCAAAGCCATGCAAAGGAAAAAAAAGCACACTGCAGAATACATATAATACAAAAAGTTTGAAATCACACAACAAAATACCGTCCAATTTTGCTTGTAGATAGGCGTTACAGTAGAACATACATAGGCACATTAAAGGAATTCAGGATCATGATTTTCTCCAGGAAGGAAAAAGGGAATGTTTTATTTCTTTAAAACAAACAAACAAAAAAAACAAATCAGACAAAACATTAGGATCCGATAGGGAGAGGTAGTAACTTTTCTGTTAGTATGAAATATTTAAAAACTAAATTCTCAAACTTATTTTTTAATATGTTCACATTCAAATTCAAAAGGCACAGAAAGGTATGTTATGAAACTTAAATTTTCCTCCCACTTATGCCCCAACCAGATCCTCTCCCAGAAGAAAACTGGGATTCTACCTTCCCTAGTAGGGGACATCTACAGATTCAAAGGCAAATCTGGAAATCTACACCGTTTCCCCCCTTCATTAACTTCTGCATATGAAAACTTAATATCCCTCCCACAGTCCATTGTATGGATAACCGCATGTTATTTAACCAACCCTTTTCAGAGAGACATCTAGGTTTCCTCCAATTGTTTGCTTTTGCAAACAGTTACACATTGAAAATCATTTCGATATGCCACATATGCAGCAGTTATCTGAGGAAAAAATCTAGATACATAACTGCTGGATCATTCGAATTTTAATGTTTATTTGTCATTTGAATGCATATTGCCAAATTGCCCTCCATAGAGGTTATACTAATTGATTCTCCCACCAGCAAAGTATGAGAACCTGGTTCCGACCACCATCTAGCCCACCAATAGCGTTTCTTTTTACTCTTTGTTGACTTAGATGAAAAACAGCATTTCACAGTGCAACTACGTTTTGGTAATTAACAAAATTTCAAAAAATAAAAAATTAAGTCAAATGCAACACTTCTTTTGTGATTCTTTCCCATGAATGTTCTTGGAAGCTCACTTGGTGGCACCTTCTTTCTCCTATTCATTTTACAGGGATTACTCTATCATTAAGTCTTTCCCTAGATTAAGTTCCTTCCAGCTCCGTAACATCTCTGATTCGACTCATCACAAGCAAGGCCCCTCCACTCTGTGCTGTTTGTTCAAAGCTTTTGAGGGGAGCAGGAAGGAAGATTTATGTCCCAAGTAGGTACAAACTGAAGGACGTAAAATGATTTTTTATGAACTCATGGATGACAGCGTCAAAAGTATTTTTGAAGAATTTTCAACTCAACACCATTTACTGAGCAGGCACCCCTCAGTCCTCTGAAGCGCCCCAAAACATTGTCTGCCTTCAATGAACCCCAATCCTTGGCAGCATGAAGCAAGGTCTGCAACAAAGGGATAAGGGACAGTTGGGAAGAGGAGAGGAGGGAGTAGGTACTAATTTCCAGAATGGGGAGCCATCATAGGAGTGCCAACTCGGATGCGCTCTGGAATGAGTCTTCCAGAAAGCTGAGTTGGGGCATCTTGGTGCACCAAACCTGCGGCCAGGCCCGGCCTCAGGGAGGCCTGGCGCGAAAAGGTCCCCAGGCATAAGGCGATGACGACCCATCGACTCCGGCCCGCGCAAGATTGGAAGTAGTCAGAACCCGCGGCCAACGCTTCGGGACCCAGGACCCGGAGATTTTGCAATGACAGCGCGATCCCCGGCTTCTTTTTGGAAACCGCGCGAGCTGGCGAGGTTGGACTTCCTCGGCTGCAGCCCGCGGGCCCCCGACCCCCGGCCCCGGTGAGCTGCTGAGGAAACTGAGGCTCGCAGGCCGAGGTCCAAGGTCACACCAGGTGGTGGCAGTCCGGCCCCGCCCCACCCGCCTGTTGCAGGACCCGCCCGCGCACAGTACCGAGGGTCGCGGCTGGGAAGGCCGCGCTCAGACCCGCCGCGGGCGACAGGCCAGCCCAAGGGCTAGGAGGCCCGCGGATCCCGCAGGGGTGTGGAGGTCCTGTATCTCCGCT